TTCTAGAGGACCCACGTCCCCTATCCTAAAAAAGTTTGTTCTTAGGGTTGGGAACACTGTTTAGGGGGTGTTGGTTATTACTTGTCCTAAATAGAGAGTTGGGGTGAAAGCTATGTTTGTTAAAAAAAAAAAGGAATAACAATAGTGGGTAATAGAGTGAATACTTATGAGCTATTATTTATGGATAATTTACATTGGTATACTTTTGTATATTGATACGAGTTCAAATTGTATTTGCTATTTTTTTACATTATTTATACACTTAAGCAAAGTTATTCTGTTAGATTGTATATATGCATGTTTCTGCCTCTGTTTAGGATATTTTCATATTGCGTTATATATTACTCCTACCTCTGACCAAGATACTTATAGATTGTTTACATTTTGAGATCATTATCCTCATTTGTTGCACATTTGTTTACAGATTATTTAATATTCTGGTATGAAGTTTTAATCTTTAAGTTATACAGGTATTAATTATTATAGGTTAATAGTTGTTCATTTTTTTGTACTTACAGTCAGATCAATTAGGTTCATTAGATATCTAGAGATTGCATCTATCTAGATAGGTAATCTTCAACCACTTCAAGGATCTGTAGAACATGGCATTTAAATAACTTAGGGTTCTGTTGACATGAGACATGACTGCTCCTGACAGCACCAATCTATTCCTGAGAGAATATTGAGCACCCAAGACACTCCACTCAATGTTTGTTTTCTTCTTGGCACCATTGGATTTTGGGCAAGGAACTGCCCATACCTCATCCACTGACAAAGTACATGTTATCCAGAAAATGATAAGCAAGACACAAGGAAAAAGACTGTCAAACCTTGCCAAGTCAGCGTAAGATGGTTCTGAAAATTTTTCTGCCTCTGATAATGGTCTGTCAGTTATTCTAGGCCTTAGCCAAAGTTGGTTGCTTCAACAATGAAAAATGAGACTTTGGATGATTGCTCAGGTAGCTAACTTTCTCTTTCATATATTGCTCACTTTGGAAGCTGCTTGACTGTACTTCCTTCCTACTCAAGTAATATTATCTCTCTTCTCAGGCCTTTGATGGGGTCCAAGATTAGATAGTCATAGTTACTGTACTCTTATGATCTAACCAAGCCATTTCCTATACAAGACTTAGACTCCTTAGGATGTTTATTAAAACATTTAGCATACGTTTCTTGTTTAATATTGTTTATGCTAGTTGTAATTCTAACTATACTTGATATCTATTCCTAGTGTATATAGTTTTGTATTGGGTTTAGAACCCTCTTATTTAAAAAAAGGGGGGGAAGTGCTGTGAAAAGACATTCTGTTCCTTCAGCCAATAGCCTTTAAGATACCAACCCACTTGGGTGTGGTCTCTTATACTGTAAAAGCAGTTGTAAGCGTGTGCCCACTCTTTTGCTTCCAGCTCCTGCTTTCAGCTGCTAGACTCTGTTCCTGTTCACACAGAGGATTGTTATCTAGGACAGTGATCTGTAAGTTTTCCCCTTAAATAAATAACCCTTTTATTATTCATAATTCTGAACTGGTGTGGGATTATTTGGTGATTTCCATCATCATCCCACCACCTCCTCACCCTGTCCTGAGCTGGGCAGCTCTAGTTTGCTTACTGACACCCCAAGGGGCTGGTTTAAAGTCCTACCCAGGGACACTCATGCTCCTGACAAGCCTTCTGTGTCTCCTAGGGGGAGTTATCACTCTCTGAAATGCTTCTTTATATCTTTTATCTTTAAACACCCACCCTATCTTCAAGCCTGGGTTGGGGGTAACCTCAAACTCCCAAAGAACACAAAATTCAAGAGGATCCCAAACTCCCCTGCAGTTTAGGAGCCCTTCTGAATTTGCCCCTGGCTTCAGCCTTCATTCTACTCAGGGGAAATCTTCCTCCTCTCCCAGGATCCAGACATGCTCACCTCACCTAGGCAGGTGTGCATTTCTGTCATTCTGTCACACTTTCTCCTACTGATTTCTGGGAAGAGCTTGACTATATAAAGCTACATGGACAAAAACAACATTCCAGAGCTGAGGAGGTAGCCAGGCAGTAGAATGCTTGCCTACATTTACAAGATTTGATACCCTAGAATTGACAAATTGATTACTTGATTAACTACATCTCTACCATCTAGTTCTGATTTCTATGACCACAGATGAACTTTAGACTTGATGAGAACTGAACCAAATACTGTGTACTTTCTGGATGCATAGTATTTGATACATACTGCCTTCTTCTTATATATATATGCATAAGAAGGTCGCACGCGCGCGCGCGCGTGTGTGTGTGTGTGTGTGTGTTATATATTGGTTACAATCTGGCTTCATGTGGTGCTTTTGTGATTGATTCATGCTGTAGAGGTAACAGGCAATTTTTATCCCATTGTGTGAAGTTGATTCCCCAGCTCTTCTGCTAATAGAGGTGTGGTTTGAGTTTTGATTTGGGCTGAGGCACACAAATCTGCTGTGGAGAATGTGGGATAAGTAGTTTGGAGGAAACGGCCTTGACTTTTTATGTTGAGTTTAATTCTGAATTTCTGTGTAATCTTGAGCATCTGTCCTTTGGTGGGTGGGCACAGGAAGGCACAGGCACTTCTTTAAAGCCTTGCCCTCTTTGCCTTGTCCTTGGGCAATATGAGACTCCTTTGATTGCTCTCTTTGTAAACTCGGGTTGCCTGGTCACTTGGAGTTTGTGGTTCTAGTGAGTATAAAAACTGCATGGGGACAAAATAAGGGACAGAAACATGGTCAGTGTCATTCCTTCTATCTTGCACTCACATTTCTCTGACATTCTTGGCCAAACCTACAGTATAAAAACCTCCAGCTCTGTAGTAGAGTTTGAAGTCAAGGATTGTGATGCCTCAGAAGTTTCTTCATTGTACAGGATTATTTTGGCTATCCTGGTTTGTTTTTATCTATCTATCTATCTATCTATCTATCTATCTATCTATCTATCTATTTGCTTTTCCATATGAAGTTGAGTACCATTCTTTTGAGGTCTCTGAAGAATTTTGCTGGGATTTTGATGGGCATTGCATTGAATCTGTAGATTGCTTTTGGTAAGATTGCCATTTTTACTATGTTAATTCTACCTACCCAAGAGCATGGGAGATCTTTCCACTTTCTGGTGTCTTCTTCAATTTCTTTTTTCAAAGATTTAAAGTTCTTTCATACAAGTCTTCTACTTGTTTGGTTAGAGTTACTCCAAGAAATTTTATGCTATTTGTGGCTATTGTGAAGGTTGATGTTTCTCTGATTTCTTTCTTAGCCCATTTATCATCTGTGTACAGGAGTGCTACTGATTTTTTTTTAGTTAATCTTGTATCCTGCACAATTCTGAACATGTTTATGTTTGTAGAAGTTCCTTGGTAGAATTTTTGGGTTCGCTTATGTAAACTATTATATCACCAGCAAATAGTGAGAGTTTGGCTTCTTCTTTTCCGATTTGTATCCTCTTGATCTCCTTTTGGTGTCTTATTGCTCTAGCTAGGACCTCAAAAACTATACTAAATAGATATGGAGAAAGTGGACAACCTTGTCTTGTTCCTGATTTCAGTGGTATCACTGGGAATTTCTCTCCATTTAGTTTGATGTTGGCTGTTGGCTTACTGTATATTGCCTTTATTGAGACATTCCATCTTACACCTGTAAGAATGGCCAAGATCAAAAACACTGATAACTTATACTGGAGAGGATGTAGGGTAAAGGGAACACTTCTGCATTGCTGGTGGGAATGCAAGCTGGAACAGAACCTTTGGGTTTCATTGTGGCAATTTCTCAGAAAATTAAAAAACAACCTTCCTCAAGACCCAGCAATACCACTTTTGGATATATATCCAAAAGATGCTCAATCATGCCACAAGGACATTTGCTCAACTATGTTCATAGCAGCTTTGTTTGTCATAGCCAGAATCTGGAAACAACCTAAATGCCACTAAAGAATGGATAAAGAAAATGTGGTACATTTACACAATGGAGTACTACACAGCAGAAAAAAATAAATACATCTTGAATTTTTCAGGAAAATGGATGGAGCTAGAAAACATTATTTTGAGTGAGGTAACCCAGACCCAGAAAGATATATATTATATGTACTCACTCGTAAGTGTTTTTTAAACATAAAGCAAAGGAAACCAGCTCACAAGTCACAATCCCAGAGAACCTAGACAGCAATGAGGACCCTAAGAGAGACATATGTAGATCTAATCTACATGGGAAGTAGAAAAAGACAAGATCTCCTGAGTAAATTGGGAGCATGGGGACCTTGGGAGGGGTTGAAGGGGAGGAAAGGGGCAGGGAGGGGAGCAGAGAAAAATGTAGAGCTCAGAAAAAAAAGACCTCCAGCATAGACCATGTACCCATTTAAACACCACTCTTAAACCGATATCCACATAAGTATTTTTAAAAGTGTTGGGTTTCCAACACTAACCTCAGGGCTACCCACAACACACATGTGGCTAAGGGATAGTTTTCCTGTCACCTCTCAGAACTCAACATTTGTGGCTTCTTTGCTCTGGGGTTGATCCCCATTCCTCCTGAGTCATGTGCTCTTCAGAGCTGCACCATCTGGCAGATGGGATCTCAAACCTGAAGATCAGATCGTTCGAACCACCCACCAGCACCCTCTTCACTCTGCAAAGCTGGGTGTCCTGAAATGAACATAGCTTCTCCACGTTGGAAAGGAAGTAGGGAGTCTTGGTTTTTAGGGACTTGGTTTTTAGACCTTACCCACTAGGCAACTTGAGGTGGCCCAGACTGAGCTCTGGCGGCAGCTCTGAGATCAGCAGCGCTGTTCCAGAGTGTGCAGCTGAGGGAAATGTTCCTTTCTACAACACCTGAGCCATGGTCCTTGTCTGGATCCTTCATTTCTCTCCGCCCCTCTGCCCACGTTCAATTAATTGTCTCCTTTAGGTCACTCCCTACAGCCTCTTCCTAGCACTCGCTGGACTTGGAGGAGGAGCGACGGGAGTGCCCCTAGCTGTGCTCACCTGTGTGTCTAACCTACCCTGGGATGCCTGAGAGCAACTCTGCTGCCAATTGCTGCGAGGCTGGCAGGCTGGCGATGCGCCCTACTTGGTCCGGGTCAGCGGGCACAGGACCACCAGGGACTCCCCGGGCTACTTGGGTGGCTCCCACGCTATCTACAGTGATAATTGTCGCCACAGTCCTGGACGTCGTGGGAAACCTCCTTGTCATCTTCTCTGTGCTCAGGAACCGCAAGCTGCGGAATGCGGGTAAGTACCAGCTTCCTCAGGGCTGGGTTCCTTCTGTGCCCTGCCACTGCTTCGAAGCCCGAATCTTAGATCCTTTCCCATCCCACAAACACCCCGCCCGCCCCCTTTTCTCTCCTCAGTGCCCTGTGTCATTTCAACCTAGTCCCAAATTTTGGTTTTTTGAAGGACTTAGGGGGAAGTTTTTGTCCCCGGATGCGAAGCTATTCTGGAACTTGCCTCTACTCAGGGCACACTTGATACAGTAGTGCCAATGTGAACTGAGCCGAGCTTTTCATGTGCACTTGATAGTGGCAGGACGTGGGCACTGTAGGGAAGCAGCCTGCTATCCATGGCATTTCAACTGTTACTGTGAGATGGGGTCTCTTTTGGCCATGGATGCTCCCCACCTGTGAGAGAGACCCCTTTCCCTGCCTGCCAAACTGATTTCATAAGTAGGCAATTAGAAAGTCCTTGCTGGAGGGTGAGTGGACTCTGCGTGAGTGCGAGCAATGAATGGATGAGCATTCTGTTAGGCACCGTGTCAAAGACTCATCACTGGGAGATATAATTCCAAGTAAGAGTGTTAGTTTAGACTCTTGTGGGCATGGCTTGCATCAACACTGGCTTTTCTGCATGAAGACAGAGAAATCGGGTGACCCACTGTGAGAACCATAACAAAGATTTGGCTATAACAGGTAACAATTCTGAAATCATTTTTTCCCTTACCTATATATTCCCAGTTCCCCCTTTCCCTGCAGGACAATAAAACCAGAGGGAGGGGCATGTAACTCAGCTCCTGACAGGGTACAGATATGTGCTACCCAGTGACCTTAGAAGAACCCCAGAGATCCACTGGTTAATTCTGGAATTCTTTTTTTTTCTTCTTTTTTTATATTTGTTTTTCTTAAAAGAAAGCAAACTATCTTTTTTCATTATACATACTCATCCAAGTTCCCACTCCCTCCCCTCCTCCCATTCCTTCCATGTACCCTCCCACCCCACCCCATCCAATCCTCAGAGCAGGTGAGGCACATTGCTTTGTGGAAGGTTCAAGGCCCTCCCTACTCTATCTAGGTTGAGCAAGGTATCCATCCAAAGAGAATAGATTCCCAAAAAGCCAGTACATGCAGTTGGGATAAATCCTGGTGCCACTGCCCCTCAGTCTGCCCCAGCCATGCAGCTATCAACCACATTCAGAGGGACTAGTTTGGACCTATGCTTCTTCCTTTCCAGTCTGGCTGGAGTTGGTGAGCTCCATTAGCTCATGTAGACTGTTTCAGTGGGTGAACCCCCTCATGGTCTTGATTTCTTTGTTCATATTCTCATTCCTCCCTTGGAATTTCTCTAGAGCCAGGTTTCTGCTAACCCTGTAATGGCTCCCTCAATCAAAATATCTCTCTCCTTTCTCTCATCTCTGTCCTTTCTCTTTCTCAACTATCCCATTCCCTCAAGTTCTTCTCATCCCTCCCATTTTCTCCTCCTCTTTTGCTCTAATGTCATGTTTTTACCGCCAAGTAGTTCTCTAATGTGTAAATGTCCCTCATTTTCTTTACTCATTCTTCGATTGAGGGGCATCTATATTGTTTCCAGGTTCTGGCTATTACTAACAATACTGCTATGAACATAGCTGAACAAATACCTTTGTAGTATGATTGGGCATCTTTTGGGTAAATGCCCAAAAGTAGTATTGCTGGATCCTGAGGTAGGTTGATTCCCAGTTTTCCGAGAAACCACCATATTGATTTCCAAAGTGGTTGTACAAGTTTGCATTCCCACCAGCAATGGATGAGTGACCCCCTTACTCCATATCCTCTCCAGCATAAGCTATCATTGGTGTTTTTGATCTTAGCCATTCTGACAGGTGTAAGATGGTATCTCAGAGTTATTTTGATTTGCATTTCCCTGATGGCTAAGGATGTTGAACATCTCCTTAAGTAACTTTTGACCATTTGAGATTCTTCAGTTGAGAATTTTCTGTTTAGTTCTGTATCCCATTTTTAATTGAGTTATTTAGAATTTTGATGTCCAATTTCTTAAGTCTTTTATATATTTTGGAATCAGTCCTTTGTCTGATGTGGGGTTGGTGAAGATATTTTCCCATTTCAGGAGGCTGCATTTTTTGTCTTATTGACTGTGTCTTTTGCTTTCCAGAAGCTTCCCAGTTTCAGGAGGTCTCACTTGTTTATTGTTGCTCTTAGTGTCTGTGTTACTGGGGTTATATTTGGGAAGCGGTCTCCGGTGCCCAGCATTGAAGAATACTACCCACTTTCTCTTCTTTCAGGTTCAGTGTGGTCAGATTTATATTGAGGTCTTTAATCCATCTGGACTTGAATTTTGTCCATTGGAATAGATATGGATCTATTTTCATTCTTCTACATGTTGGCATCCCTCCTGGCATGCTGGGTGCCAGGGAAGCCTCTATGTGCGGAGTCTCCCTGTTCAGTCCTTAGGTTGTCTGTCACAAGAGACATGGTTGAGGAAGTAGCCATTGCTGCTTCTTGCATAAGGAAGATAAGAATCCCACTTCTTCATGCTACTTAGGACTGTCCCACTCTGTGCTCCCCATAGTGCTCAGCAGCCAGGAGTAGAGAGCAGGTGAATTGTTGGTGCTTCATTCTCTTCTCTACCTCCTGATGCCTGTGCTGCAGCCCAGCACAGAGAAACAAACTAACGTGCTATCCACACACATTTATTCCTGCCCATGGCAACTTCCACAGTCATTCAATATAACCAGTGCTTTCTTTTTCTGACTCTTCCTCATCCTCCTCCTCTTCTTCTCCTACTCCTTCTTCTTTTTTGAGGTGGTAGGAATGGACCAAAGAATCGTTTTCGTGCCACGATGCCCAGCCCTTCATTGGCTCTGTTGGTGACACTCGTTTACCTAATGTAATATTGGCTTAAACTAAATGACCATGGTAAAGCGATATTTCAAAATGATCTGAAAACCTGCAACACTTTGAAAATGAGCCCCGTCCACTCTTTATTTTTCATTTGTAAAGTGAAGAATTTACATTTACCTCAGGAACAACTTGTCTCGGACTTCGTACTCAAGTCTGTTCCCTAAATCTGTCACTACTGTGCCAGTTGGACAGAAGAAAGGAAAGGTTTGTCTGGGCTCACAGTGTGAGGGTACAGTCCACCCCGGTGGGGATGGAAGGGCAGCAGGAGCATGAGACAGGTGGTCTCACTATCTGCAAAGTCGGGAAACAGGAAGAGGGGAATGCCGCTTCTCAGCTCAGGTTATTTTGTTGTTTTTTTAGACAGGGTTTCTCTGTCTAACAGCCCTGGCTGTCCTGGATCTCACTTTGTGTAGACAAGGCTGGCTTCGAACTCAGAGATCTGCCTGCCTCTACATCCCGAGGACTGGGATTAAAGGTGTGTGCCCCCACCACCTGGCTCGGCTCAGATTCTTGTTTGTGCTCAGTCTAGGAATTAATCCATAGACTGGCTCTTCCCACATTTAAGGTGAGCCTTCCCACATGAATTAATGCTATCTGAAAACATCTAGGAGAGCAAGAGGGGAGAAGGGAGAGAGAAAAGACTCAAAAGTACATGCTATACAGTGAAAACATACATATGGTGACCCAATAAACATATACAAAATATACACCAATAATAATAAGGAAAGGGGGGTGAAGAAAAAACATTTTATTCTACAATCCCTCACCTGAGGGATATTTCTGTCTAAGTATTACTCCATCTCTGTTTTTGAAGACAAAGCTATTTGAGAGAACAGGCACCAGGCCATCATTTTATTCACCTGCAGAGAGCAAAATTCACCTAGCTAGTGTCTTGACTGACCCCCTCACTGCCAAGTTCAGTGTCCTGTTTCTGCTCTTCACTTGCGATGAATATCAGTTCTCACAGCCTTGCCTTTTACCCCGCTTCCTCTTCTCCCCTGATTTCCTGTCTTCTGGTTCTTCTCCCTCCTTCTCTGTTATAGGTTTACATAACCACCACCTACTTCTTCATCTGGGAGACAGAAATTGTCTGGTTAAACATACAGGGTTATTACAGAAAGTACTAAATGCACAGCGTTGAATCTGGTAGAACATCCATGTCCTTTGTTACTATTGCATTCACTGAAGCAACAAGAGGACACTCATCCAGTTCCCAGATGGTCTCTGCAGATGGTGTGGAAGAACGTTTGCTGACGCCACATCAGTGTCTTTTCAAACGCACACTTCTTACACTCGGAAATACTTCTCCCTTTAAGATTTTGAAACGTCATCCTTGGAATTTTCCTGTACACGTTTAATGTTTTTAACTAAGGCAAGAACAATTTTATCTCTGCCTTTCTATGAATCATCCTAACACCCTAAGGGTTTTTCATAAATAATAGGACTTCGGAAGAAAACAGTTTCTGCCCTCCAGGATTTGAGGATCAAATTAGATTACCATAAATGTATCCATTGCTTCAGTACTTGTAAGGAAACCACGTTTTTAACAAATTATCTGCTCAATCTTTGCAAAATCTCTTATACCCAAAATGTTACTAGAATGTCTCACATAATTCGTGTAGACATTAATATTGCTTATGGCCTTTATCATAAGGTCTGTTTGAGGTGCAATGTCATTCTTGGAGGAGAGCAATCTGGTTGAAGGGTTTGGGGGAGCTGATCAGCCTGACTAACCCCATCGTTGTCTGACTTGGGACTCTCTCCAGCTCGTTGCTCTGGCCTGGGCTTCCCCGAGCCACTGCTTCTGTGTTGACGCAGCATGACAGGTCTTTCTCTGAGCACCACACCATGTCTTTCCTGTGTATGGGAGAGTACAGATTGCTGCACAGTAAATAAAGGCTGGAGGCCGGCTCTGATCTGGAGGAGGTTAGTCCTCTGGGAGAGCAAGGGTCATCTGTGGCTTCCTCCCTATAGATGCTTTCATTTGGTTGGCTGTCTTCTCTGTGAGGGAACAGACACGCTTGGATTGCTCACCACCCTTCCCTATGCTCCTGGAACAGTCAGAACCACTCTGAAGAGATTCTCGGGGTGCCTGCTGAGTAAATGACTGGCTCAAGTAAATATTGAAGGGAAACTCAATGTCCAAAGTTGTTTTGAACACAAATAAACTCTTCAGAGTTCAGAAGGCAAACAAAGAGGGGTGGCCGGGGTAGCTTGGTCTTTCAGAGTTCTGTCTGATGAGGACTAGACGGTGTAGCACTGCCCACCTCCTCAGAAACAGCCTTCCCAGAGAGGAGACAGGATAGGAAAATCCTGTGTGGGAGATGTGCTCTACCTGTGAATAATGGAGGCGTTCTACTTCAGAGAGCACAGCCCTGCAGTGGCGGCCCCTTCCACTGCTACAGCTTGTCTGACAGAGACAGGCCTGATGAGTCACCGCAAGACTCTTGTATGAATGTTCATTACAAGCCATTACACACAATGCGGAACAGAGCTACACACTGGCTGATTGATTTCTCACCTGGCTGGGGGAGACATTGGTGCAGCAGGGATCTCCTCCCGAATCTCATCCAGAGAGACCCCAGCATCTCAGCACCTCACAGATGGCGGACAACATGATGTCGGTAGTCACCTAATTGGGATTCTGCCAAGACACTAGAAGCTGGGCGGATGGCTCTCCAGCAGGCTGGAGGACCTCAGCCTTTATGAACAGTCGGCTTAATAGGGGAGAGTAATTGAATCACTTTCCACGTGGAGCTGATGTGTTCCGCTCACTGTTTACAAGCTGCATGCAGCCTCTGGGGCATTATTAGGGGAGAAGCCGCAGTAACACAGCAGAGCCTGCCGTAGCTTTCCAGAGAAACAGCTGGCGGAGCTGGCACCGCTTCCAGCTTTGGACTCTTTATGTTGCGTTTGTAGATTCCAAGAGCCTGTGTTCTGTCCATCCAGAAACCGTCAGGACCGGCAGCGACCAACCCTCCTATGTTAGTGAAAGGAAATTTTCTGTAAAAAAACACCACCGTGAAGATGGGGAGGGGGTCTCCAGTAGGAGGAGCCATAGGTGAAGAAGTTACAGAGAAAGTTCAATAATTGTCCCAAACGCCTGTGACCAGCAATGGGCAGAACTAAGTGTTCCTCAAAATGCTCCAGCCCCCAACACCTTGTCCAAACACAAAAAGGAGCCTTGAGATCCAAACTGAGACAGTTCCTACCCTCACTGGGTTGAAGGCAGGAAACTTGGGAAGCAGTCCGTGTCTTGCATCAGCTGCTTTTTCTAGTTGCTGTGACGAGACACCTGACAAGGGTGACCTTACTCAGTAACTGTTTGGGCGTACAGCTCATCACGGCGGGGAAGGCCTGTGGCAGGACGGCCATCTTGGATCCCGCGCTGGCTCTAGATACTGGTGTAGCCCTGAGGTCCTGAGAATTCCCATAGCATGATGGGACTTACTTTCTCTCCATTCTGAGCTGGGCTGACCTGGAGCATTTGAGATGAAAATAAGCACTTCCGCAGGTCCTATCCAAGGTACTCTATACCACACGGCCTTCCGATAAGGTGAGCATGTGTGTTGGGACCAGGGCAGGCTGGAGCTAGCCCTTTCCCCACCTGTGTTTTAACACATGTAGGTGGAGTGTGCTTCATGTGTAGGTCTGACCCAGGAACTTCTCTCACTGTCTCGAAGCCTCCCATTTCCTAGACCTCAGCTCATCGTCTCCCTTCCCCGATGCTCCAGACCCTCAGGTGGACTGAGGAAGGCAGGAGTAGGCACAACTGTAGAATGAGGACAGATCTGAGGCACCTGCATTCTGGCCTCCTTGTAAGTGCCTCCTATGAACTGGTCCTGCCTTCCCACTGAGCTGTCTGTCTGACAAGAGGCATTTTGTCACATGGCCAGAAAACTGTAAAGGCTGTGTCCTGTGTGTGCGGTGCCACTGAGAAACACTTCCCATGGACAGCCTGTGGTCTTCTGAGAACACAGCAAACGCTCTAAAAATACAAGGATGGTGCGGGAAGGGAACTCCTCATGCCCTGAGCTTCACTTTGGAACCCTCCAGAGTCCTGGTGCTTTGCTAGGTGCCCTGATGTTATCAGTGAAACTGGATGAACGAAGGCTGCTCTTCAGGGGTGAACAGTGTCCTCCTGGAACTCAAGCTACCTTCCTGAGTGGCTGTGTGGCTTCTCGAGGCTCTGGCTGGCTGAGCTGACGACACTGCCAAGAGCTCCGTTCAGAGGAGAAAGCTGAGTCAGCCCTGCCTGATGCCTAACCACTCAGATGGGGCCTCGGCCAGGGTCCTCAAGGCCAGGGCTGGCAGGCGGCTGACGGTCCATGTCAGATTTGGTGGCTCTACTTCAGCCAAGGACTGTCCTGATGGCCAATGCACCTGTACCATGGAAGGCCATGCAAACACCCAAAATTGAGGGCCATGTTAGTGTCTCGGGGCAATATTGCTGCTGGGACAGTGGTGACATCCAGACCCAACTGCTGCCAAGGACTTTGTTGGGGTCCACGGTTGTAGGACCATAGCTGGGGTCTGTGCTGAAGTCAGGGTGCTGCATTGCCACCAAAGGTCTCATTGAAGCCCAGGGTTAGGGCCACAATCTGAGGCCTTGGTGTCCAATCCTTCTACCCAGAGCCAAGATGTCATCCGGGCTCAAACTGCTGCTGAGGGCCATGTTTGGATCCGTGGTGCAGCTACAGCTGGGGTCTGTGTAGATGTCTGTAACCTGTGTCACCTCAGGAGCCTAAGAAACCACGCGAGATAAAACCAGAGAGCCATGCTGAGTTGGCCCCACCCTTCGCTGGCCCTGGGAAAGCTGGCCTTGCCTCTCACTGGACTCTACAGCCAGAGAGCTGCCCTGTGCACACTAGAGAGATGGTTCTCACCCTCACCAAAGGCCATGTAGTGGCCTGATCCTGAGCACATGCATGTGGGGAGTTGACTCCACCCCCTCGCCCAAGGTGTGTATGGGGGAGAAGGGGTCCAGACTGACCAGCTTGGCTACCACCCAGGTCCAGAGCTAGGCCTTGGGTCGGCCAACCCTCGCACATACCCCATCTAGGACCTGCTGGATCTGGTAAAGGACTGGTCCTGTAAACAGTATCCACAAGATCACCATGACTCGGCAGCCACAGGGCATCCCAGAGGAGTTCCGGTAAGGATCCAGTGAGCCAGACCAGTGACTCACGAACACTTGACAGTAAAACTGAAGGGACAAAGAGCTACACTATACGGCACACTGACACCTCCAATGCCCTGGGATGAATGAAGACGGTTGGAGAAATAGGAAAAAGGGGGAAGCAAAGAGATTTTTCTGTTGTTGTGGGGTTTGTTTTGGTTTGGTTTTGGGTTTTTTTGTTGTTGTTTTGTTTTTGTTTGCTTACATTGATTTATTTCCTTTTTGGGGGAGTATGACGGGAATGAGTGGAGGATATGGGGGAACCAGCTTCCTCATGCAATCCCAGCCTTGGCACTGCCCATAATAGAGGGGGCCCTCACACATCACTCAGGAATCAAGGAAATGCCCCACAAACTTGCCTAGAGGCCAGTCTTAGTGAGGCATTTTCTCAGTTAAGATTTCCTCTGCCCAGACATGTCTAAGTATCTGTCCAGTTGACAAAACCCATCCAGGACACCATGCCTCTGTACCTGTCCTGGAAGCAGTTACTTGAGAGCGCCCACTCCACTGGACATTGGTCTCATTCTCACACCTACCACAAAGTCAGATAATTATCAATGCATTGCAGATTACCAAAGGGAGCCCATAAGAACTTGGGTAAACAAGCACAGATGCAATTTGAGTCCTCGGCAGTCTCTAAATGCCGTTTGCTTTCCACTCCCAGTACTGATGAAACCAGTTCAGAGAAGCATAAAGAGTTAGGTGCATAGCTGTACCGTGCGTGCGTGCGTGCGTGCGTGCGTGTGTGTGTGTGTGTGTGTGTGTGTGTGTGTGTGGTTTCTGTGTGGATGCACAAGAATTTATTGGTAAAGAAATCAGGGTTATTATCCTTGTATTCTCAGGTGCCATGCACCTTATATTTCAAACAGGATCTCTTAGCAATGTGGAGCTCGTGGTTAGGCTGGACTGGCTAGTCATCGAGCCCCGGAGATCTATCTGCCTTTCTTTCCCTGGATTATAAGAATTATCACTCTGCCTGTTTTTTTTTTTTTTAAGATGTGGGTTCTTGGATCCAAACTCAGGTCTCATGCTTGAGTTTCAAGCATTTTGTCCACCAAGCTATCTCCTCCCACCCAAAAAAATAATGAACAGAAATTGTGAGGCCTTTACTAACGACTAATCTGTGCTTCTTCCTTCAGGTAACTTGTTTGTGGTGAGTCTGGCCTTGGCTGACCTTATGATAGCCTTGTACCCTTTCCCACTGATCCTCGTGGCTATTGTTCGTGACAGTTGGGTCCTGGGAGAGGCCCACTGCAAAGCCAGTGCCTTCGTGATAGGCCTGAGCGTCATTGGCTCCGTCTTCAGTATCACAGCCATTGCCATTAACCGCTACTGGCGCATGTGTCACAGTGCAACCTACCACCGGGTCTGCAGCCACTGGCGTGCCCTCCTCTACGTCAGCCTCGTCTGGCTCCTCACTCTGCTGGCCTTGGTGCCCAGTTTCTCTGTGGGAAACCTAGACTATGACCCACGCATCTATTCCTGTACCTTTAACCAGACGGTCAGCAGCCGGTACACAGCAGCTGTGGTGGCCGTCCATTTCCTCCTTCCAATAGCTGTGGTATCCTTCTGCTACCTGCGAATCTGGGTTCTGGTGCTCCGGACCCGAAGGAAGGCCAAGGCTGAAAGTCAGCCACGTCAGAAGCCTGGTGACTTGCGCAGTTTCCTAACCATGTTCGCTGTGTTTGTGGTTTTTGCCATTTGCTGGGCTCCCCTCAACTGCATCGGCCTTGCAGTGGCCATCAACCCAGAGGTGATGGCTCCCCAGGTTCCAGAGGGGCTCTTTGTTGCCAGTTACTTCCTAGCTTACTTCAACAGCTGCCTTAATGCCATTGTCTATGGGCTCCTGAACCAGAACTTCCGCACGGAATACAAGAGGCTCCTCTCAGCACTCTGGAACATTGGGTGCTGTTTCCATATTGCTTCCAAATGCTGCCTTGCTAAGGAGCCACAGAGCCCAGCTCCATCTTCTTCCAGGGTTCCCATGCCTGTCCAGGAGGGCGGTCTCTAGCCTGCATCAATTGCATGGACCTAGCAGCAAAGCTTTGCAACGAGGGGAGTGAAAATACCGTCACAGTGCCATGCAACAACATGCTCACACCACGGCCCACAATGAGGAAGTCTGTCAGGGAGCAGACACGCCACCACAGATTGGACACTGGATTCCAAAGGGCTGGGGTAGAAGTCAAACTCTATGCACGAAATGTCGTTCTCCCTGCCACCTTGACCTGTTACTGATCTCTCCCCTTCCTTGAAGGGCTAGAGGATCTCTTGATTACCTAGGCCGAAAGAGAAAACTCTGTAGCATTAAAAGTAGGTGATTTTCAGGGACCCAGGAAAAAGGCAGGTGCAGAGGGCCCCCCATCAACTTTTCCTGCACATCACAAATGTAGCACAGCACATACTGAATCCATATCCACCACACATATATACACCAAATCATATCACACACAGAGACATCAGACACACATCATGCACGCTCACACGCCATGTGCATATGTACCAGATGCATGCATACCAAGCACAACCATATACCACACATATATACAACAAACATAGCACCACAAATGTACACACTGAATACATATACACCAGACACACACCATACTCACATACATACAAAACATACAACACATGCATACACAGCACACACAGGCACACCATGGTGTCTTCTTCAGATGTTAATTGGGTGTGCTTGGTGAGTGTGGTACAGCAGAACAGGGTGCCTGCCCTCTAAGAGGGCAGTCTGTGGACAGACTGGTATCAGTACAAGTTGGAGGTTGTTTCCTGTCTATAGTCACTGTAGCAAATGCTTGATATACTATTGGTGGGGGAGAATTATCTATATTCTGTCAATTATGTTTTAAATAAATGCTGATTGGTCAGTAGCCAGGTAGGACAACCAGACAGGAAGTAGAGGTGGGACAATGAGAAAAGGAGAATTCTGGGAAGGAGGAAGCTCATTCCTCCCGAGTCCTGCCCAGACCACCAAAGAAGTAGGATATGACCTGCCCCACTGAAAAAGGTACTAAGCTATGTGGTTAACATAGATAAGAATAATGGGCTAATATAAGCTACAAGAGCTAATAAGAAGCCTGAGCTAATGGACCAATCAGTTTATAATCTTATGGAGACCTCTGTGTGAATTTCTTTGGGACTTGCTGGTCACGGGAACTAGGCAGGACAGAAACCCCAATGAGCAGGCCCTCATGTTACATATTATTGTATCTAACTCTTTCAAAATCTTTGGAAATAGATACTATCATGTGTTTGCAGAATAAGAAACTGAAACTCAAAGAACTTAACTGATTGGGTGAGTCTAAAAAGGTCCTAAGTTCAAAGGTAGGTGTGGAGCCAGGCCTGTTAGCACCCTACTCTGCCCTTGCAGAATTGGGAACAAGTAGCAGATATGCATTGAGCTAGGTTAAGTACCTTATATGCATGTGGTCCACAGGGCTTTCCTGGAAGCAGAACGAGGGGACACTGGTGTGCTGCTGGCTCATACGATACCACATCTTTACCTTCCCTGGATTGGGAAAAATCCAGGCTGACTGAGCGCTTAGTCACCTAATTACCTGGGCATTTCTTAAAAATATGAATTCCTTGGAGCCTACCAATGCTTCAGTTATGGAAATCTGATCTAATATCAGAGATCCACTAGGGGAGTGATTAGGGATATGAGTGGCACCTTTAAACTGAGGGTGGATATTCCCATTTAGGGAACTCCACAATTCATACCTCAGTCTGAGAGAGCCCTCCAATGCCAGAGTCCTCACACTCAATGCACTACAGCTGGGTGGAAGTCAAAGTTGATCTCCTTAGGCAGATGTGACTTGTTTCCTGTGACCCCAACTTTGAAAAAGAAGGAGTCAGCATTTGCTTGTCAACAGGGTGACACTACCCCTCCAATCATCCCTATCTCCTAGGACTAAATGTGTGTGTGTGCGTACTCAGTAAATACAGGCAGAAGGATAACAATCTCCCTTCATTTTCTCAGCCTAACAATGTCGCTGGTCCTCCAGGTCCTTGCATGTAAGTCTAATAACCAGGACCTTTTCTTGTGTCCTTAGGCTTTCAGGATGAAGCAGTATCCTAGAGATCAATGGGAAGTGGGGAAAACCAGGGCATCTGGCAATGGGCATACTCCATGGAGTAGTCTCCCACCACTGGCCCTGAGTTTAACCAAGGACAGTCAGCTCCATTCAAAGGGTTTAGAGATGACTCACCTTCTGCTTGATGAATCCTATAATCTCTGCAAAGGTGCTTCCCAGCCATGTTCCTTCTGTGATCTTCCTTGGGACACCTGTCTTGAGCTTTTCAGGAGGTCCCAGCCTTCAAAGGGACCTAAATTTCAGATTCTGACTTCTGACTGGGTTGACATCAGAGGTCAGCCAGCGCTTTGGCCACCATGGATCAGAACAAACAGACAGGGCGGGGAATAAAAAAAAAAAAAAAGAACAAACAGACATGCACATATACTTGGTCAGAGACACACTTAGGACACAGAGAGTCACAAGAGACTGACAATTTTTCCTTAACAAATATAATCGCCAGTTGGATACACTACAAATCATTGGTTAAAAAAGAAAGCATTAGTATGCATAAATAAATGTATAAATAAAAAATAAGCAAACTGAACTGTTTAAATTTTTTCCAAGGTAGAGAGGGTTTTAAGACAGGATCTCATATAGTCCAAACTGGCCTTGAATTTAGTATGTAGCTGAGGATGGCCTTGAATTTCTCATCTGCTTGCTTCCTCTGTTTCCTGGGTGCCAGAATGACAAGCAAGTCTGCTACACCTGGCTCTGAGGAGCAAACCTGAAAGTGAGCTGTGTGCTGATGTCAAGTGCAGAGTCAGGGTTAAAGAGCAGAGCACTAGAAAACTTCCATGTGCAAAACTGAAAGCTTTCCCCCACCGCCATGAGCCACCTTCTCCACATTGCCCTACTTCCTGCTTTGGGGAGTGACTTCTGGGGAAGTTCTTTCATGAGCTCGTGCAGTATAAGCCTTCTGTGACTGGACTGTTCACATGGGACAATGTCCCGCAGGTTCTTTTGTGTTGTTTACAGTGAGATTTCCTTCCTGTGTAAGGGGGATCACCCACTGTCCATCCACCCTGCCCTGAACTACCACTGTGACCCAGCAACCGCAGTTGTGAATATTCACCAAGAAGAAATGAAATCAAGATCCCAGTGACTCACGTGCACACCCATGTCTGTGCTGGTACTGTTGAAATCAGCCATGATGTGGGAATGTCTGTACTTGCCACATGTTCTGATTCCACTGGGTACCTAGATGAATTTCAAATGTTGGTTCCATTCTAGTGTTTGAGGAACTGCCATGCTGTTTGCATAGTGGCTGCATGATTTAAGTGGGGCAAAAGTGCTGATACTCCAGCTTCCACACCTTGCTAGCCACGGCTACTTGTTTCACTTATGACTGCCTTCCCAAAAGATAGGAAGTGACTGAGGTTTTATTTGGATTTACCTAATGCTCAGTGATGCTGAGCACTTTTTGAAATCTTGTTGCACATTTGTGCATGTATTCTAGTTTGGCTATAGACAATATTTATGCCTCCACCTTGACCCATATCTCAAAGCCCTGTTCTCAGTGTGAATGGATCTGGAGGAGACTGGGGGAGAGGACAAGCAATGAGCTTATGAGCACAAAGAACCAGTGACCGAGATTATCATCGCTCTAAACTGAGACCCTGAGAGCTCGCTGCCTCTCCTGCCACATGAGCTCAATGCGTTCTGCAACTGCTGGAAACTAATTCATATCGTCTACAAGGCACAAAGTCTGTGGTCTTTCATCATAGCTGCTAAACCAAATGAAATAAAAGCATCCTGTCTCTCTCTTTTTAAACTTTGGGATGTTTTGCTTTGGTCTTGGCTTTGGTTTTGCAACTGACTTATAGGAGTTACCTTTAAAACTGTACATTGTTTTACTCTTGAGAAGCAATAATTTTACACATATATACATACATCCTTTAGTGGTCAGGGTAATTAGCAAACATAATCATCACCTCAGAGTCTCATTTCTCTGTGTTAAGGCCATTCAGAATCCTCTGTCGTGTTTTGAAATATGTGCAACCGTTATTATTACTTATCATCACCTCACTGTGCGACGGAACACCAGAGCTTAGTCCCCATGTCCAAAAGTGACGCTGTATGCTTTGATCCACAGGACTTCTGGGAGTTTCCTTACTGTCACAAATATTAATCCCTTACAAGATCAGTGGTTTACAGAACGTTTTCACAATTTTGTGGGTTATCTACTCACTGTTTTCTTTGGTCTGCAAATGATTTTCAGTTTGATATTCTTATTATCTATTTTGTTTTTGTTACTTGTGATTTTTATAACATATCATAGAAATGATTATTCAAACCAATGAAACTCTTTACTCCAGGCGTTTTGTAGCTTCGAATCTCATATTTAAGACTAGTCCAAAACAGCCATCCAAAGAGTGAGGAGATACTACACTCAAACTTAAAAAAAAAATAAAGTGAGCATGAAAATATCCCAGAAACCTAGCCAGCAGGAGAGATTCCTGTGGATAGGCTCCCCCAAACCCAACCCCATCCACCGACCCCTCTAAGCTACTATCCCCACCCTATACCCAAACATGCTAATTTTCTTGAAGCCTCGGTGGAACTCTGAAACACAACTTGCTCCAATACTAAGGGGACTTAAGAGGTGAGTGAATAGCATTCGGCAGAACACCCCACTCTCTAGGACCTCCACAGTGGGGCAAAACCCTGGGCTCCTCCACCAACACCCTCAGCTTTTCAAGCTAGCCAGCAGAAGAGATCTCCATGGGTAGGATCCCCCCAAATCCAATCCTATCTACCGGCCTGTCTATGCTACTAGCCCCAACCTGCATAAGAACTAAGAGCTTGTTACAATACTAAAAGAACCAAGAGATTGCTAAAAACACTGAGGGGACTAAGAGAGGGAACCAAAAGAGAAGACCAAGAGAGCAGGCTTACAGAGATGTCAAAAGCTTCCTGAGACACAGACATTGACAGTACAGAGCAGACCAAGAAAAATTCCCAAATACTCAGACAGCCACTGGAAGGATTGGACCAAGACAAGAACACAGTGTCAGCCTCATTTGAAAGAAGATTGGGTAGACACCAATGCAAGAATTCCTCTAATAACCTAAAAAGCAACATGGTAACACCAGATCACAGTGGTTACACAACAGGAAGACTTGATCATCCTAACCAGAAGAAGCAGAAGAAAGTGACTTTAAACATAACTTTATGAAAATGATGGAAACTTTTAAAGAGGAAATGAAAAACTCCCTTAAAGAAATGGAGGAAAAGAAAAAAAAACTGGAAGAAATTAATAAATCCCTCCAAGAAACCTAAGAAAACCAAGAAAAAAATTCAAAAAGGTGAAGCAAACAGTTCAAGACTTGAAGTCTGAAATATAGGTAATAAAGAAAACACAAACCGAGGGATGGCTGGATATAGAATATCTGGGTAAACAAACAGGAACTACAGAGACAAGTATAACCAACAGAATACAAGAGATAGAAGAAAGTATTTCAGGTTCTGAAGATACAATAGAGAAAATAGACTCATTGGTCAAAGAAAACATTAAATCCAAAAATTCTTAACACAAAGCATCCAGAAAATCTAGGACACCATGAAAAAAAAAAAACTAAGAAAAATAGGGGTAGAAAAAGAAGAAAGACTCCAGCGCAAAGGCACAGAAAATATATTCAACAAAATCATGGAAGGAGACTTTCCCAACCTAAAGAAGGATATTCCCATAAGATGTAAAAAGCTTACAGAACACCAAATAGACTGGATCAAAATAACTGTGTCCTCACCATAAAATAATCAAAATGCAAAACATACAGAATAAAGAGAGGGAAAGCAGAGAAACATGACCCTTCACAATC